ATCTAAAGATCTCCGACATGCAGGGCGCATTTAAAGTTTACAACCTCAGTGTGACTGCATGTGGCTGCACTTTGACACCAAACTGTCGAACTCGCCAGAAATCTGAAATAAACATTGGCCCTTATGCTTCATTCATGATCATTTCTTCACTTTTACTTCTTCTGTGTAAGAAACACACCGTTTACTTTAGTGTAGGAGAACTGTGATATGTGTGCTAACATCTCTAAGAACCCAGCATAAGTTTTATTTTACTCTTTGACAGTTCTGCTGCTGCTGGCTCTCAGCATCTCGTCCAAAAGAGAGTTTTTTACTATGGAGCCTGAAGATTGTTCAGGAGGAATCCTCCTCCAATCAAACACTGAGGCACCAGGAGACAACTGCGAGGTCACTGTTTAGAAACATTTGCATCCATACCAATGACCCATTTTAAGGGAAATATCAATAAACCATTTCTCTTTCTTTAGATTCCTGCCACTATTATCAAAAAACCAGTTTGTATGGAGCAATATAATCAATCTAATTTCCATATTCCACTGAATGGGCGGAGAAATGGACGACATTCAGCAAGGGTGACTTTTGGCAGTTTTCGGAGTTTACGCTCACAAGCTAGGGTAGGTCATCCTTCCATGGAACATGTACTTTTGTGAAGCATCCCTTGAGAGTGTGATAAACAGAATCCTCTATAGTTCAACTGTTGTCATCCTTTTCAACATGAAATGAAGCAGAGCTTCATCCACTCACCACATCAGAATTTCAGAAGAGAAAGCCTGTCCCACCGTTCCAGCTACACTGGGAACCAGGTTGTAAACACGCACTGAGAATTGAGGATGTCTTACAAATGGATCTTAAAATAATAACTATATCTTTGTGTTCTTCAAATTTCAGTCAAACTGGACCTCTGGCTGTGACAGCAGCAATCAGGTAGAACAGCAGACATTTGTGTTTGTAATTTTTACTTTGAAGTCAGAGATGAAGAAATGTGTGAACTTTTTGTGTGCAGTTTGAAGACATGGGCAATATGAGCATCCTCCAATCACAAAACTTGAGCTGTGCTACGGAGTCTAATGACATGCAGCTTCATCAGGTTGGTAGTCTTAAGTATGTCACATCTCCTATGTTGCGTTTTTAAAGATGTATGAGCTTGTACTATTGAAAAAATCACTGTAGGCATATTTGCCTTTGACATGTTCCACCTTTTACAGAAGCTAACATTGTTCCAGGAGAAAAAAGGGGACTCACTGGATGATGAGCTTCACATCTATGCAGTGGAGGGGAACTCAGACACCACCTCAGAGCTGGAAGCAATCAGTATTTCTGAAGAGGGCTCATTTCAGGACGCACTGGAAGATCTGGGTCCAAAGTTTCACCAACTGGCTTCTACATGCATGACAGCCAAGCACACCACTTTATGATCATTTCTTCAAGATTACACAGCTGGTCTGGTGAAGGAGCCCAGAGTGCTCCCTGGTCAGCATGCAATTCATCTAAAGATCTCTGACATACATGCAGCATTTGATGTTTGCAACCACAGTGTGACTCCGTGTGGCTGCACTTTGACACCAAACTGTTGAATTCGCCAAAACTCTGAAATAAACATTGGCCACTATGCTTTTTAATGCATGACAGTTTCTTCACTCTTACTACTTATATGGAAGGAAAATGGCATTTGCTTCCCCATAGGAGCATTGTGATAAACACTACCACTCAAAAGTTTGGACACACCTTCTCACTTAATGGTTTTTCTTTATTTAATGACTATTTGCTTTGTAGATTCTCACTGAAGGCATCAAAACTATGAATGAACACATACACAATTGTGTAGAAAACAAAAAAGTTTGAAATAACTCAAAACATATTTTAAAGATTTTAGATTCTTTGAAATAACCACCCTCATCCCAAACCATCTGATTGAGTTTAGGTCAGGTGACTGTGGAGGCCAGGCCATTTGGCACAGCACTCCATCACTCTCCTTCTTGGTCAAATAGCCTTTACACAACCTGGAGGTGTGTTTGGGGTCATTATCCGATTGAAACAAAATGATGATCCAACTAAACTAAACCGGATGCCATGTCGCTACAGGAGCCCACGGTGGGAACCATGCATGTGGATTCTGAAATGCACCATTCTACACAAGGAGAGAAATACTTTTGTCCATCCATCCATCCATCCATCCATCCATCCATCCATCCATCCATCCATCCATCCATCCATCCATCCATCCATCTTCCACTTATCTGATCCAAGTCACTGGGGCAGCAGTGTTGGTTTCTTTACTCTACGTCTTTCTTCATATATCAGATAACCTGAAATCTAATATCCACTGACAATGACGGCACCCACGAGGCAGAACACCAGAGAGTTGTTTTTATTTCTTCTTCTTCTGTATTTTTTTCCTTTGTAACTTTAAGACCAGAGCTGAATAAACTTGATTTTTTTGTGTGCAGTTTGAGGATTTTGGCATTATGAACTAGTTCATTTCAGATAAGATAACAGGTAAGATAAACTTTATTAGTCCCACACGCGGGGAATTTGTTAATTTGTCCTCATGCTGCCTCATAAGGTTGGTAGTCTCTTTAGTATGTCTGCTACACTGCATTACTATCATTTCCTCCCAGAGTAGTTAATTAGATCATTGTACACAAAATTTACTATTAGATTATTGTATTACAGGTATAGTCTTTGCGTATTATAGGAAAACTTCTGTAACTTATGTGATTCTTGCAAGAAATCTGCTGTCATTCACACAAACAAGTCTTAAAACCCAGATGCACTATTTTAATGCATGCACTGTTAGAACCTGCATGCATGAGACAGTGCTCAAAGCAAGCGTGTGCATTTGCTTTCTGCAGTAAGTTGAAATTTGTTTTGCATATTTTTCCACACTTAAATGTGTCAGTCCTGTGTGGGAAAAGTAACTGCCCCCTAAATATAACTGGTTGAGTCACTGTTGGCAGAAACTGCAACTCCAATCAAGCATTTGTGATAACTTTCAATGAGTCTTGTACATTACTGTGAGGGAATTTGGCCCCTTCCTTCAGCCACACTACATGCTTTTTGAACATGAACAATGCTTTTTAAGGTCATGCTAAAGCCTCTAAATCTGCTTTCAGTCTGGACTTTGACCAGACCACACCATAACCTTGATTTTGTTTCATTCTTTGTGCCATTAGGATATGAACTTGCTGTTGTGTTTTGAATCATTGTCCTGCTGCATAACTGAAGTTATGTGCACGTGACCTTCAGGGCATAAACTGATGGCCGTACATTCTCCTTCAGGAGTTTCAGGTAGAGAGCAGAACTCATGTATGATGTAAACAGAATTGGTTCTAGCACGGAGCCTTTGTGTGTGAAGAGGACTCTCCATTTACATGAACAAATTGGAGTATATTAGATAGATATGATTCAAACCATTGCAGCGTAGTACGTTTAATTCCTACGACATGCTCTAATGTCTAATGTCTATAGTCAATAGTATCAAACAGCAGAACAAGAACAGAGATGAATCCATTGTCAGAGGTGATAATAAGATCATTTATAACCATCTCTAATGCTGTTTCTGTACTATGATGAGCTCTGATGTTAACTTAGTAGGATCTACCAGCAAAAAAGAGTGAATACCAATGGTTTTGACCTGTACCTTATGATACGTCTGTGAGATATCTTGGTGAATGCTCAATCATCCAGGTAGGAAAATCCCCAAAAGATGATTCTGTACATCTGGATGTTTCCAGTAGGAGAAATATTTTGTCACTGAGTGGTGAATTGTCACTTTATTCAGTACAGCACCGTTGATTTTATGTGACCTCTTCGTGATTAAGAGGTTAATAGTGTGCAATGTGATTAGTTTCAAAGTTGGATCCAACCTCAGCATGTCAGAGGGCTGTGGTGGCAGACCTTGTGTTAATACTGTGGACCAAAAGGAAGACGCTCGAGGCAGGAAATTAACAAAAAAACGAGCCGTTTATTGAGGCTGAGAAAAACATGCAAAACAAAGGGCAAACGGGAACACTAAGAACATGGAACATGAAAACCTGGACTTGGGAAAGAAAACCTGAAACGTGAACTATTGATAAGCATGATAAGCAGATGACCTGACGATGAACAAAGGCTAAAACACAGAATATATACAAGCGAAGTGGAAACACATGTGGAACACAGCTGGGACGAATAGACATAATGACACAGAGGAAGCAAAACTAAACACACTGAACATAGGACGAGAGACTGTCAAAATAAAACAGGACTCACACTGAAACACAGACTAAGACACACGGTTTGACATGGGGCCGGAGGAAAGAAGCAGGCATGGGGATGAGACAGACAGAAGAGATACAGAGGGTGAGAGACATGACGGGCAGGCGAGAACACACATGACAGACAGGGGAGACATGGAATGAAACACAAGGAGGGGGACATGGGAGCAGGAAAGCAGAGATGAAACACAAGGGCATGACTAGGACTAGTTTGTTCTAGATTTAATTCACATTTTATTTCCAGTTTGTCTGCCCGTTTTAAATTTCAGTGTGATCATTGTTGTCACGTTCTGTTTTAATAACACCAAGTATGTGTTTGACTCTTTGGCACAAAGCCATGAGGTTAAATGTCTCACATATTTCAAGTTTTTTAAAAACTCTACTTCAGGGAATCCTCGATCACCAGACGGGGGTGTGTATCACTAAAGGATTCTGAAGCAATCACAGTTTGCAGAGACTTTATAATTTTGGTTCGATTCCCAGGATCAAATGCCGAAAAAGCGGGAAGATAATATCTTCTTCACACATGAGTGATGATTTTTGAGTGAATACACACTGAGGGTCAGTAACTATAAAGCATTTGAAAGGCAAGATCAAAGCTGGCATTGTTCAGTTACTATAAAACGTTCGTGACGTATTAAAGGTTATGAGGCTTCTTCCATGGAAAGGCAGGTATGAAACCACACACACACACACACAGACTGCATTTTGCACTTGTGTATGTGGGTGTGGAAAGCAGAGGACCGGGTCTCTTTACTCTGAAAAAGTCTGTCCTCACTCACTCTGAGCTGGATATACTGAACAAGAACCATGCTCCGCTTCATCCTGTTGGTATGTACCATTTCTGTTACATTTTATTTCTTATAAAACTATGTGCTGATTATGTGAGCAAATCTTGTGTGCCGATCTCGTCATCTATCATATGGCCACATAATGACAGATGACAGATGCCACGTGACAGATGTTATCTGAAATCTTCTTATAGACAACAACAAAAAATCCTCCAAAATATATTTTTCTTTTAGTTTTTAGATTGCTTAAAATGGAGTTAAGGGTTTGTTATGAGCCATAAAAGTCAGGGACTTCCTTTGAAATGGTTTCATTTTTCTTATCATGCTAAATGCCTTTGCATGTCAATAGAAATATGTGTGTGCACTCACCTTATCAAAACCTGTTTACCAACAAAGCAGGAACATAAATTAAAGCTACAACCTTTTGCCATACCTTAACATTCCTGCTTTGTCTTTCAGGTTTATTGTTTGTCAAGTGCAGCAAACTCAGAGCTGTTGAGCCGTCACAGAAGGGCGTGGATTATTGATTCCTTTGAGATTGAGGAGGGCCATCCAGGGCCATTCCCATATGAGTTGGGCAAGGTGAGAAATTCAAGCAGAAAATGTCCATTTCCAAATTTCATAAATAAATAATGACAAATCCGAATGACATATTTTTACTTTGGACTTGGTGTTGGCTGCCCATTTTGTATGACATTCACTGTAGAAATGTAGAACATCGCTTGAATGTAATGGAAATAAGCATACAGCATTGTCCATTTATGATCAGTTGCTTAAAAAAGAAAAATCCACTAACAGTGTACAAGCAGTTTTGTGTTTCAAATGTGTATTTTGTCCTCTCTTTCTTTTTTTTAGTATACAAAAATAATCAATTGAATTTTGGGAGGAACTTTCATTTTAATGTAATTGCCAGAATATACCCGTAGTATCCACCATAACTGACCTCACGGACATTTGCTGTTGTGTTGTAGGTGAGTGTTGATAGGGAATATCAAATATACTTTGAACTGCATGGACAAGGGGTGGACGAGGAGCCGATGGGAGTCATCTCCATAGACGAATTCTCTGGCATGTTGAACGTCCACAAGGCCGTGGACTATGAGAAGTGGCACACACTTGAGGTTAGAATCGACACATGTTCAACTCCAACATGTAGCGATGCCGCAGAATTTCTGTTCACAGTGACCATGAAAAAATCTGTTATTGTGGAGTCGTCACTGTTAATAGGTTTGCAGGACAAACAAATTAGAGTTCTAATCAGATTATGTATTATCCTCTGTAAATATGAGGTTTTCCCTGATTTCATACACGATATGTAAAATATTGACACTAAAACATCTTTAAAGCACATTTTCTTGTGAGAGAACTGAAAAATATTTGTATTATGATTTTTCACACTACATTCCCAATGTCCAACAATTTATCATGTTTGTCTTTATACTGTAACTAACTCTGCATGATATCTTTTGATGTCTAGCTAAGATTTGAGGCCAGAAAAATGGACATATCAATGGACACCAGGTTAGGAATTCAGATTTCTATAAAGGACATCAATGACAATCCACCACGCTTTGAGAGGGATCTGTATGAGATTAACCTTCCTCAGGAATCAACACAAGGTAAAAGTATACAAACAAGCAAACAAAAAATGCTCCTTGATTTGAACTTAATTACACAGTGATTATTAAATATGCTCGTTAGTTTGAGTTATTATTTCCCAACAGGCTCCAATCTTTTGAAAGTGCACGCTACTGACATAGACGAGAGAGAAACACTAAACTCAACCTTCCACTATGAAATCAAATCTGTGTCTCCAAATGTTAGAGGCACTGAACTCGTCATTGATGAGTCTGGATACATCTCATTCAAAGGATGTTTAAATTATGAGGTAAGAGACTCTTTTGTTGATATGTCAGGAGTACAAAACACTTCAAAGATGAGTAAGAAGAACGGAGGTATTTCCTGTTTGGCTAGATCTGTAACTGATAAGACAAAGTAAAACTAAGCATTTATGCAGATATGAATATTTGCTTTGAGTGCTTTCTCATGTGTGCTTTTGTTCCAATGAGCAAATTATCTTCCTGTACTACATAAAATTGCCAGTAAGCTACATTTGGTGACAAGTGGTCCAACTCC